TTGCTGATTATCATCAGTTTCATCATTATCATCGGAGTAAATGTCAGTATGTGAACTGATATGCAGTTGTAACGCAGAGGCCCTTCATTGCCTTCTTTAGAACTTTCATGAAACGTTGGTGAACCCTTTATTATACTTTTATACCAACCAGGTTTATTATTGGTGAAACCGCTTCACTAGCCAACGTTTCTAACATACCGTCGTTTTCAGGTCTAGAAAATGGACCTGAAGACGTCGATATGTTTGTTATGTTAAATTCCTTACTTGTAACTTACCGGGTCCAGCACCCAGCTATATTGAGCTAGAGTCAGCACATCGCAAGAGCGCCAAGTACGAAAATTCCCCAAAAAAAGGCAAATTTCCACGGCTTTACAAGTTTTCAACTCCCACTGAGCCCAATGAACAAGGAACAAGTGAACCAACAGTGGCACCGCAGACGTCATGCGTGCAAAACGTGGTGATTTCACATACCAACCGAAGGGTTTGATGGCAGAAAATCACGTAAGATGGCCATGTACTCATTTCGGTTGTTCGGCTTTGGTTTTCTCACGTGGATCTGGAACGCTTTCAGTATTCTTCGCAGGACCGATATGGTTCTCGTGGGCTAATCGAACGCTTGACTTGGTGGATTACATGTAACGAGTTCGAGCCACTTCAGGTCTTGAGGGCGTTCGAAACGTTGACCAGTAAAGCGGTTTTCCCAATGGTCGGCGCAACTGTATAGAAAGGATGTTTCCCATGCTCAGGTTCCCAGAAGAAAAAAGCGGATTCTCAATCAAACTTTCCCTGGCTTATTCTCCTTTTTTGGAACGCTCGTCCTCTGTGATCGCAAGCTACGGTTTCCAAGGCTGTCTCCCGAGTACCAAATTTTCTTGACATGCCCTTTTCATGCCCTCTTCTTAGAACATCTACATGTTTCGGGACTGGTTCTACCGGAATGAAAAACGCCCCTAGACACGCACTACCAGAAGCTTGAACTTATAGTAATGTACATTTCTGGTGGCGCAGTTCGGCGACGAGGGGGGCATTTTGCACTTTCACTGCTTCACCATTTCCGGTTCACAAGTCTCACACTTGGTGAAACTTGTGAACTCTTGTGAAGCTGGAGCAAGCTCGTCGAGCCCACCTTGGTAAAGCGTGTCCACCTTAAGAAAAAGGTCGACATATCGATGGGAAGCCAATCACTCCCCCCCCCCCGTCGCCGAACTGCGCCCATTTCTGGTGATTCTTCGTGATGAGGGGCTCATACAAACTTTCCCTTTCTTTCTATGAGCGATTCCTACCACTAATCAAGCGCGTTTCATTTGGCAAATTAACTTGACAGAAACTCAGTAGTAATGCCACATATCCGTCTTGAAGCCATCTGCTCTGAAGCGAACATTCCGTGTCAACTCAACTGTTCCGCGGCTTTCTGGACCACGACTTCTTGTTTTTGGGTTCTATTTCTGCTGTTTGTCTGATGTCTAGCCCTTTGTACTTCTCCCAGTCGCTCTTTTCCATGAAATCTGCTTACTGGAGGACAGAAGCGGTGGTTTGGGATTTGCATAGGACTGATGAGAAAGAAATTTGGTTTCCTTGTGAAAAAGAAAAATTGAAGATAAGGGCGTGGCGTTTCTGAAGAGGCGCCGGCCCATTTCCCGAAAAGCTGTCAATTTATGCTTGTCGATGCGTGAAATTTCCCTTCTATAATGCCATTCAGAAAGCGGTCGTTTCTTTCTGAACGTCCTTTCTCCATTGAAAGGGTAGGGATTACTTCTGCTATTTGAGATTTTTTAGTTACTTCGGAAAAGGCTAAATGTAGAATGTTGTGGAAACTTCTAGAAGTTTACAGCCATCTTGGTTTCTGGTAGAAGTCTCTTCGAATTGTGGCGTTGGTTGGGGGAGGTACCACTTGATAGACTTGGGGGAATCCCATCTAGGGTCATATTTTATTGCTGGGGCGAGGGGTTCCATTTGACCCTGAGCGGGATTGTTGGGGCTGGTCACTCCGGAGGACGAAATCGGGAGGGGGGGGGTCGTACTGACAGCGTCATTTCACCCATCCCGATTCTTCACCCTGGGCTCGCATAAGCCATTGCGGTGTAACATAACTTAGGACCAGTGCACTCTCCCTCGGACCCCTCAAAGAGAATTGCCGGATTTCTTTTTATTTCTAGAGTGAAGCGGAATCGTGTTTGCCCGATTGAGAATCCGTTTGTAGGAGACTTCCCCTCCCCCTCAGTGAACATGGGGTAAGGGGGGGGGTGTGGATCGTAGTGAGGAAGAGATTTCCTCACCGCTTGCTCTGCTCAAGACCTTCTTCGTTTCGCTGGACATTACAGTGCAGCTGCCCTTCTTCTCTCACGCGAGGTCCAAGGGTCAAATTCCATCGAGCCCAACAGAGACTTGGACCTCTTATACCGCCATCTCCTCCCCCCTCCTCCTTGTCAGATATCGATTAACTGGTGCCAATGGGATTGTCAGGAGGTATTGCAAGTTATTTAAATCTTTGGACTGTAGCGTGGCGTCTACGGGGTTGTCGGGAATTCTGTGAAGGAACACGGGGTGGAAATTATTTAGTGGTATTTTCGCCTACATGTCACGCGATTTTACCTATGTTCGCTGGAGGCCAGGAACCGTTGATCCCTTACCGAGTCTTAATATTTATAGTAGCTGGTAAAACAGACTGCGATCACCCTTTTTAGTTTTGAAAACTATCGATATAAAATACAAACCATACTATTATAAAACCTCGAAACTCTAGTGCGATTTTTTCTTCGCTGAAGCTCTGCATGTAGGGATTTCCCAGTGCTTTGATCGCGGTAACCGCGTCCAGCAGCGCGTCGACGCGCGTCATCGCAAGGCCTGAACGCTGCCTTCGGAAAAACCAATCAAAAGCGAAAAGCTGCAAGCTTCTGTTGATGGTGCAAGGTTGAAAAGTGGTCATCGGGACGTGAACTGGGTAACTGATAAATGGATGAACGTTAAATGATGAACGTTCAAATGTCTTCACAATTGAAAACAACTAAAGCTGTTTTGCAGGTGGTCGACGTCTATGATTTGGCCGCATCGATAGGTAAAGATTTTGAGAAGCTCATCGAACTTCATGGAAATGACTGTGTTCGCGGTATTATGCCCAAGGTGAGTTGTACTTGTCCGTCCATTTTTATTACAGTCAATATCTTCTTTATTTTTCTTATTTTTATGGCAAGATTTGGCGAATCATTACTATTATTTTTTGCTTTGATTAAGGCGAAGAATCTGTTGAGTGGATAGGAGCGTGGCTAGGCAAGTGGGCGTGCTTTTATGTGTCGCAATTTCGAGTGTGGCTTATCGCGTTGCGGTTGCGAGTATGGATTGTGGTTGGTCAAGCAGGAGTTGGTCGAGTATATTGCGGCTCATAAGCTTACTAGTCGTCCGGAAAGTACGACTGGTGATTCATCCTGTCAAAAATGACGTCGGCCTGGAATTTCTATCAGGTGAGCAGAAGCTCTTTCTTGAAGTTCGCCGGGCCACTGTTTTGGTGGGAGAGTAAAGGCGAGCAGAGCGCATGGACGTCCACGCCTTTCATGGGCAGAAACATCAATAAAATCGAACAATGACAGGTCCCAGGCGTTTTTGTCTACGCATTGAAGGGAATGATTCTGCGGCTGTGGATCCGCCCATTCTGCACAAAGGTGTTTTGCTCGAAGAAGAGCATATATCTCTCTCATGTAATCGCGCACTCGGTCATTAAGGTGAGGGAGAAAGGGAAGCGGCGGGAGTAAAGGAGTTTCAGGTTTCCGGGGTTCAAGAGAGAAAGGCGGTCAACAAGTAGAATTGGTTTCTAAAGAAGCGTCGAGGAGAGCCAATTTACTCTATACTTTCCTTGATGACATCCCTTATGTCCGCTTCCATGCTTCTCCAGCCCAGAAGCCGCGCTCGAGCGGAACAGTCTTGAGGTTGTGACCGAAATTCGAGGGCCATTAACTTCAGTACAGTCAACTTGCGGATGGGTCCCTTTTTAGCCTCCAGGAAAAATCGGGGAGCGGGAACTAGGTCTATCACATTAATGGAACTCTTCGAAGGATAGGTAGTTTATGCTAGGGAGCTTCTGTCATAGTTACGGCTCCAGAAAAGGATAAGATTTAGTGCCCTCCCCCCAACCGTGGCATACCACTTTCCTCCGAATGCCAAAAAAAGAAAAAAAAATAATCGAAATCTCCTGCCGTCTGACTTAATGAATATCCCATAAGAATGTATGCATGTAGTTGACGGCTTTAGAGTCGATCTCATTGGATTCGGGACATTTTAAAGCCCAGCTGTCAATCGGAACGATATCGGGATCGGCGGTCGTGTGTGACAAAGAATGTCGCGTTGCGGCAACATTTGCAAAAACCAACTCGACGCGGGCTGTACTGTCAGTTAAGTAAACTTCCTGTGGCCACTTCTGCGCCAAAACAATTGCCTTGTAAAATTCGTCGGCGCACATGACATCCTTGCACCGCGCTTTCCACGGCTGCAGCCTCCCGGCCCTACTGACCTATTGCGACGTATGCATTTTGAAGGGTCGTTTCCATTTTCTATTCCGATGTGGATGTGGTTGTGAACGTCTGGGTTGCGACGGACACGGCTAATGAAGCGCTAAAAATAGTTCGCATGCGCGGCATTCGCTCCAGCGCGATATCGTATAGCAACTACGCGCACACTCCCGCAACGAGAAGGAACTGCCTCAATGGGGCCTGAGACGCGCGCCCCAGCTTGTTGGGGGCACGTAAGGGCACCAAATGCCACTCCTGCGAAATTTCTGCACAGCCCACCTTGAACATCCGCTGTAAGGCGAGCTGTACAGATTCCTGTAGGCCGTAAGGCTCACTGGCACCATGCGGGCTCCTCACGGCGTTTTCAGGTTTCACCTGATTGAGACCTGTTATTTGGCATGAAATAAGAAGAGGAACCGGCGGAAGTGCAAAATGACCCTCCGAAGCCAAAGACCGCCTGGTTAAGACTTCATTGTCGCTGACAATGACAACTAGTAGAGCATGAAGTGTCCGAAGGTTAGTCAGCATCAGAATGTGGGTGGAACTTTGCGGTTCCCAAACGCGACGAGTCCAGCTCACATCTGAAAATTGGTCAGGGTACTGGATTTTCTCTGTCGGTGTTATCTCATTGGTGCCCCTTCCACGTTTGAAGCTTGCATTCCTGCCCTCTATTACAGAAGAAAGTTACCCACTAGGGAGCTGAAAGTCAACGGCTCCGTGTCCTTCTCTAATTACCTCCCCCAATTTCTGCGCCCCGGAATCCTTGCGGCTTTTTATATCCCCTATTGATTTCCAACCTTTCTATTACGCAGGCTTCTGACAGAATTGAAGGGGGTTGGTCATCAGTCACACGACTCATGGGCCATATTTCCGAAATGTCCTCAATCACTTGTCGGTCGTCCCACGTACTTGTTTTCTTCGTTATTCGCCTCTTTTCGCTCATCGCTGAGAATAACCTTTGCAGGGCTGAAAAATGACGTGTCGTTATCGTGGGAGGAGGCATGTTTTGTGTACGATTACGGCATTTCTCATGAATTTGTTAGCCGACAATGAGAAACCGGCCACGTTCATTCATCATCCCGTGCCAAATGGCACCTTTCAATTCGAGAGACCGACCTAGCTGGCTGCTGTGCATAGAGGGACACCCAGTTTGGCTGGATTGGGAACACTAATTTGGCTGTGTTGGATTCATCAGGGTACTGATGTGGTAGTGAAACGTCCAGAGAAATAGGTGGGGGTGGGATAGACTTAGTTTTATTTCGCTCCTCATTAGTGGGTCGTAAAATGGTTCATAGCAAGGCGCATTATACAATTTAATGTACGGTGTAGCGTAGTTGTTCGGTTGCACACGCCGCAATTTCACGACGCCTAATCCAGCTATTTGCTGCCCTCCTACTTCCCCATACTCTCTACTCCCGGTCGCTTGTGAACGTTGATGGGCGCTGGTAGGCGCTGGCAGGCGCTGGTAAACGCTAGATTGATACCTGTACTTCCCTAGCCATCGTGACGCTTGTACACGCTGGCAGACGCTGGTAGACTTGATCGATATCTATACTTTCCTAGTCGCTGACGCTGCCGGACGCTCGGAACGCTAGTGGTCGCTGATGGACGCTGGTAGACGCTGGTGGACGCTGCCACTAAGTATGAACGCAGCCTTACTCGTGGATGGCGGTCACTCCAGCTGAGAAGCACCACTCCTTGGTCGTTATCCTAAGTAACTTTATCCCACGCTCACCAACGTTTCCTGCATTAGAAGAAAACGGACATTTTTCTCACCCTGTTATTTGTATCAATTTTTTATTATTTTTTTTGGTCAGTTCAAGTGCATTATAATCTTTCAGATTGTCCTTGTTTCAGGTCATATCGGCCTTGGAAACGTTAGAATCACTTGCCAATAACAATGAACGAGAAAATGAAGAAATTCTGTCGTTACAAAAGACCGTGGAGCGATTAGAACATGAGAAACAGGCACGGCAGTTGCAAACGGCGAAATTCGAGGAGGTACGGTGGCAACTTTATTTAAAGGGGCATTTGAATTCCACCGCATCCACAAACATTTTAGTTCCACAGAAGAGGAGAAACGGTGGGACACGGGAAAGGGCGTCTTTTGCGTACATATAGTTTGTGGATCAAGTCTTTGATTGCACCATGTTCGAGACAACTAGGCGCAGTTGGCAGGGGGGGCATTTTGCACTTTTGCTACTTCCCATCAACGTGTCGAGCCATCTAGAGAGCTATTTCATGAGCTTACAAGAGTTGACAGGTTCTACCATGGTGGCTGACGAGCTTGCTCCAGCTTCACAGGAGTTCACAGGTTTCACCGAGTGAGATATGCGAACCAAAACTAGTGGAGCAGCGAAAGTGCAAAATCCCCATTCCCCCTTCCCGTTGACGAAGTGCCCGCTCCCAGCCTATTGGCATCTCGCTCAGTCCATTAGTGCCAAACTCGTCTGGGTGGTTAAAAGCATTGGTCTTACATCAACGGCTACGTCCTTATATTTGACAAGTACGCGTTCATATGTCGCTGGGCTGGCGTCGGAGACGTGAGCATTCCAGTGTTGAACTTATCAATCCCGAATGTTTAGCCGTACCTGGGGCCGAGGGAGCTTAGAGCATGGGGGGGTCACACTGTGGTGCGACTAGCGTGTCGGTC